AACTAGCCAGCCAGGCTCGTATCTGATCGGGTGCCTGCTCGTGCTCCCAACATATTTGAGCGTAGCGAGCACAGAGTGACGTTAAAAACGGGCTCCAACTTTCGATAGGCTTCATCTCTTAGTTTTCTGTTAGAACGGAATGATACTTCGGTTATAACTAGTTCACAGTGTTTTAAACATCGTGTCCAAACATGAGATTCTTAAGCCTTTTTCTTCATTTTAGAGCATACGTGTTCGAGATGACCTCCATTTAGCTCTATGCATTTCTCGAAAAGCCGCAGTTATCCATGACGTCCTTATAAGCCGACCGAGGAATGACTGGTCTCCATTATGGCTTCCTAGAGTCCCGTGATGGTCCTGAGTCTCCCTGCGTTCACTCCGTCCTTCAGGTAACCCCAAAGGAAGGAATCTGGGACTAAGGTCTGGGCTATGAGGTGCCCACCTCAAATCAAACTTCAGACTGACCACACGGCCTCTCAAGTTGTCTTCCAGCCAGCCTCAGAACGGGGTTGAGGTGCGAGAGCTTGCCCCATCTTGCTGGAACCAGAACTTCCTCATCAGCGACGCTTATAGCAACAGAAGTTCACTCTTAAAGGTTTTAAGAACTTCAACGCACCGCTCCTTGGTGACTGTCATTGTCGCGCCAGAACCCTCGACGAAGAATGGTGCCTGATGATGATGATGATGATGCCTCTGGCTGAGATTGCAGCCCTCGTCTGCCCGCCTCCTGGAGCATCCTGAGTGGCTTCGGCGGCTTTCACTGACAGCATTAAGGTTCTCCGCAGTCCCATACTCATCAAAGTGGTCCATCTAGTTCTGAATTCTGCTCTTGGAGGAGACTCTCTCGCATTTGAACTGGTGTGCGGCCTCCTGGGTTTCGTTGAACGAATCTGTCTTGCAGTAAAAATCGATGCAGTACATTCTTTGCTGGAGCTCCAACTGACGTGAATGTGTTCACAAACGCGGCTTTTTCCAATGTCCTGCTAAATAAGGGTGATAAATGAGTGAATGAAGGAAATATCGCAAAAAGCGCGCGCGAAGCCCGCTTTTGTGTGTGTGTGGGGGGGGGGGCAATCCGTACTAGTGCTTTTCATCTCTTTGTGAAGACCGTGGGACAGCCGGAGGTAGCGGAGGACGCCATAGCGCGTCCCGCAAGATGCATATTCGGCAGCGACTCGTACGTCGGCGCCACATGCGCGGCCGCCAACCCGTGGACACCGGCAGCATCACCGCGGCTGCCGACCCGTGGACACCGGCAGCATCACCGCGGCACCAGGTGTGCTGCCGAGAGGACACCAGCAGCATCACCGCGGCACCAGGTGTGCTACCGACCTGTGGACACCGGCAGCATCACCGCGGCTGCTGACCCGTGGACACCGGCAGCATCACCGCGGCACCAGGTGTGCTGCCAATCCATGGACGCCAGCAGCATCACCGCGGCACCAGGTGTGCTACCGACCTGTGAACACCGGCAGCATCACCGCGGCTGCTGACCCGTGGACACCGGCAGCATCACCACGGCTCCTGACCCGTGGACACCGGCAGCATCACCGCGGCTGCTGACCCGTGGACACCAGCAGCATCACCGCGGCACCAGGTGTGCTGCCGACCCGTGGACACCGGCAACATCACCGCGGCTCCTGACCCGTGGACACCGGCAGCATCACCGCGGCTGCCGACCCGTGGACACCGGCAGCATCACCGCGACACCAGGTGTGCTGCCAATCCATGGACGCCAGCAGCATCACCGCGGCACCAGGTGTGCTACCGACCTGTGAACACCGGCAGCATCACCGCGGCTGCTGACCCGTGGACACCGGCAGCATCACCACGGCTCCTGACCCGTGGACACCGGCAGCATCACCGCGGCTGCTGACCCGTGGACACCGGCAGCATCACCGCGGCTCCTGACCCGTGAACACCGGCAGCATCACCGCGGCTGCTGACCCGTGGACACCGGCAGCATCACCGCGGCACCAGGTGTGCTGCCGACCCGTGGACACCGGCAACATCACCGCGGCTGCTGACCCGTGGACACCGGCATCATCACCGCGGCTGCCGACCCGTGGACACCGGCAGCATCACCGCGGCACCAGGTGTGCTGCCAATCCGTGGACACCGGCAGCATCACCGCGGCACCAGGTGTGCTGCCGACCCGTGGACACCGGCAGCATCACCGCGGCACCAGGTGTGCTACCGACCTGTGGACACCGGCAGCATCACCGCGGCTGCCGACGCGCGGACACCGGCAGCATCACCACGGCACCAGGTGTGCCGACGTCCACCCCACAGAAGTATAAAACACCGCGCCCCTGACCGCCCACCACGGAATCTGACACAACGGCGGGGAAGCCTCACGGCGTTTGCCTCCCGAACGCCAGGTGGAACGGTAGGCCCGCCGATGCTTAGTGAGCGCGGCGGAACCGCCCGGGCCGCTGGTGGCGCTGCGGCGGTCATCAACAGTGGGTCCACCCTCCACGGGCTTCCAAACGGACGCCGCCTGCATCGGATGCGACTGCAGCCGAACCCCGAGGGGTTCTAGAGTGCCAGCTAGACGGGAAGATAGCGGCTAGCCATCGCTCGATATGAACACGGCGGACCGTCCACCTCAGGCAGCGGCTGTGGAGGTCGACGGCGGGATTTCTCCACGCGGGTAACTCATTTGACCAGTGAAGTGCAGCACATATCCGTCCGTCCCGGTAGCTCGTTTGGTTAGAGCGCCTGCCTTCCGATCCACCCACCCGTGGCGGGGTGGGTTCGAGTCGTTTCAGGCGCTCGCTAATTGCTCTCGACAGGTATGGCCTGCGGCCGGTGGCAACGGCCGCGCCAAAAGGTCAGTTGACGTCAAAGGGAAAATTATATCTATTTTCAGGACCCTTCCACATGGCCTCATCTTGTAAATCCCCCTAAAATCGGTTCTAGCCTTAGTTTTACTTCTGCGATCTTGCACAGAGACCTCTCCCAATGTGTTGCAATGGCTCTGTCCGAGCTATGTTTGAGCTGTCTATGTTTCTCGCCTGTTCCAATATGGCGCCCGGCCTTGCGTACCAGCAAGCGGGCCACTCCATTCAGCCGTCTTATCTAGTCCTGCATATGCATGACCGAATCGATAAAGTTAAAAGAGACGCGATAAAGGGGACACTTTTACGAAAGCAAACAACGCGATGGCAAGCATTTAGTGGGTCTAGCGATAGGGAATCAGTTTCCGCAAGATGTAGCACAGCGGGGACCAAATGATATGACGTCATATGCGCGTCAAATATTTTATTCTTATCGAACTCGGAACCGGTTCTTACCTCGTCGTGTTTAACCGTGTTTCTTCCTCATTTGACGGAATGGAAAAGGGGGAAGTTGAGCTGTGGGATCGGCTCACAACCAATTGATGCCGAAGATGCATTTACGTTGAGGCTTTGAGCCCCTTCAGAGTATATTGGTCGTGACCTGTTCATCTTCATTCGCAAAACACAAAGCCTCGATATTCGTAACTTGCTCGATCGCGCACGCTGTGCGTTGAAGTTTTATCGCGCATGAGAACGGTCTCAGCCCGCAGCTCCGGACATATTAGTCACTTTCTGGCTACTTGGTCTCCCGCTGAATGCTGCCGGCCGCTCCCTGGTTGGCGTCCCGCTTATCTGTGATGATTTTTGTTGTTCATCGGTGTTTTCGGGCGCGTCGACTGCAGTGGTCATTTTGCGCCCCTAGCGATCCTAAACTGTGATGATAACGATTGGGGCTCTAACACGCGCTCGGATGGGGTGGGGTCAAAATGCCCCCCCCCCCACCTCGAGGGTTTTTTCCAGGATGGTTTCCGAACGGCGCGGCGTAGCAGCGCCAAATTTCGCACAGCTGTAGACAATTGAATAGGAGCTCGTTTGGCATAACACGTTTAGATGTACCTTGTAAGGTCGCTGACCTAAGGCAAGTCAAAACTCAGGCCATGGTTTCAGCAAAGGCAATTTCTACGGAATCGTTCAACCTGATACAACAACGGATTGTTTGACGAAACCATACATCTCTGAGATGGTTTCTTAGGCACAACAAATATTGAATGAGCAAATTACACTGACCTAAGGTCAGGTATCAAGGCAAGAACAAGGTCAAACTCAACCTGATTTATTGCTCTGGGGAATGAGAAAGTTTCTGGTGCTCATTTCGAATTTATTGACACCAGGAACTGCATTATACATCTTCCACTGACATCTTAGATATCAGAATAAGTCATTGACCTAAGATGACGCGGGTCGACCTTCTGTTTTAGGAACATACTGCCTAGCGTAATCTTTGTCGCTTATTCAAGTGCGACTCAGAGAAGCCTTGCACGCTTTCGGTCGCCATGACCTCCGAAAGGTCAAACTGATCTCAAATGGGCTTGACATTTTGCTTAGAAACAGTTGCCTAGGTTCTGGGGGCACTTTGAATACCAGCCTGGAATTTTACCTTGTTTGACCTTATTTTATCTGGTCATGACCTAGGAAGCTCAAACTTCGACCTAAGTGATTTCAGGTACAGGTCAATACACCCTGCAAATTTGGTGTCTCCAGCTTTCTTCGTTCCTGAGATCTCAGGAGGGGAGGGTCAAATTGGCCCCTCCCCCCCCCCGCCCCACTCGAGCGAATGGCATCTAGCCCGTCAACCGGGCGCGTGTTGGATGCCGACTGCAATGGTAATATGGCACCCATTTCTGTGTGGTTGACTGGTACGGCAAAGTTCTCTCTCACCTTCGCATTCCGGTGTATTTTCGGTGCGCGTTTTGCCAGTTCCCGACACCCCAGATTCCCATTGCACCTCATCAATGTGTGTCTGGAGTTCAGAGCCTGTCCTTGCTGTGCCGAGCATAGCGTGCATGGAGAGTGCATGGAGATATGACATGCTAAATGCTGACCCATCGTGAGCTGGGACCGGGTCATAGCACACACTCACTAGGACATTTTTTGAGATCTCTCCACACAAGTTTCCTCATTGCGTCATTTCTTTGGGGGGGGGGGGGGGAGACAGCCGATCAATCACTTCACGTCGCAGTACGCCACAAACACGCTCAGATGTGCAGGACGTTTCTTACAGGCAGCTTGCAAACAGGTCACACCACACCGCACAGCAGGTACTGCAGCATCACGCGGCAGAGGTTCTAACCAGTGAAGCCCCTTGAGCCTTCATGTGAACCTACATCCCCATGGCACGCTTGCGCTTCTGTATGATGTTGTGCGTGCAGAACTTGACATCCCTCCAGGAACGCCGGGACAGTGCAGACTCCTCCTCCAGTGCCTCCAAACAGTCTGCCATTCCTGGACACTTCAGACGGCCGATAAAAAGCTTCATGCGCCTCTGCACAGCTTCCTTTTCTGCTCGCGTCCATGGTATGACCTTCCTCTCGCCTTTGGGTCTTGTTTTGCTGAAGATCCTTAGCGCTTCTGCTGGCCTCCGCCGGTTTACGGATTCCCGCGCAACTTCCGATGGCTGGCCACGGTTCGTGCCTGAGCGTTCCTCTTCAGACAGTCGCTGATCCCGCACCAACTCATCCTGCACCTCCTCACTCTGAACACCCACACCGAGGGGACGCTCGACGGGCTCGCTCTCGCTCTTCTCGTGGAGCGCACGGGAGGTCATGTGCACCTTCCAATCTCGTCGGTAGAGCAGGAGGAAGTCGCCCGCAGCCGCCTTCAGGGCGGCGTCATCGTTGTCGATGCCGCGTGTTCTAAGGATCTCCGCGCACTCACCGAGCGAGATGCCAAGCTTGAGGGCAAGCGAAAGATTGCGACACTTTCCTTTCTTGCCACCTGCCAGCCGTTTCACCGCACCTACCACCTCCAAGAACTTTGATCGTTGAATGAACGACTCTAGACCCTGTCCTGGGCTTGACTGATTTAGCTCAAGGACCAAACGCCCCAGCTGTCTCATCTTTTCGCGAATGTGCGCATGTTGTTCACGCTCGTGACCAAGTCTCGTGAACAGACGGGACCCAAAATCAAAAATGAGCCCATCATTGCTGCATGTGGACGTAACGTCATCATACCACATGTTTGCCATCAACTTCTCCAATCCAGCTGAGGCATGCCTGTGACAGGGCGGCAAGGATCTTCCTAGAGCCTGAACTTCACGTCCAGCTGCAGCTTTTTCACCAGCATGGCACCTGACATTGTGTGTAGGAAGGCAACGTCTAGAGAAAAAGGCCTGGCACTTGCTGCAAGGCACCATATCTTTCGCCGTCACCTTCGCGTTTTGCGGTGGACACCTCTTGGGAATGATGGTTCCATGCCCACCATGGAACACCGTTAAGTTGTGCTTGAAGTTTCCCCTGTTGATGATGTGCTGGACACAGATCCTCCTCTCCCTGGAGCCTTTTGGGAATGCAAGCGCTTGAACCACTTCTGGTTTCATTTTATGCCTCCGGAAAAGATGACGTGCGAATTTGATGTGAGTCTTGCTACAATATGGGCAAACATTTCGCTTCAGAGATGTTTTCTTTTGAGAAGACCTTTGAATAGAGATGCTGTGGTATTTCTCCAACGCTTCGCAGACAGGAGTCCTATTGCTGCTTTCGTCCTCTTCCTCGTCCTTGTCCTCGTCCGCTTCCGTGCGTGGCAAGTCTGTTCGAGCCTGAGCTTCACTTCCAACTGCATCTTTTTCACCAGCATGGCACCTGACACTGTGTGTAGGAAGGCAACGTCTAGAGAAAAAGCCCTGGCACTTGCTGCAAGGCACCATATCTTTCGCCGCCACCTTCGCGTTTTGCGGTGGACACCTCCTGGGAATGATGGTTCCATGCCCATCACGGAACACCGTTAAGTTGTGCTTGAAGTTTCCCCTGTTGATGATGTGCTGAACACAGGTCCTCCTCTCCTTGGAGCCTTTTGGGAATGTAAGCGCTTGAACCACTTCTGGTTTCGTTTTATGCCTCCGGAAAAGATGACGTGCGAATTTGATGTGAGTCTTGCTACAATATGGACAGATATTTCGCTTCGTAAATGCTTTCTTGTGAGAAGACCTTTGAATAGAGATGCTGTGGTCTTTCTCTACCGTTTCGCAGACAGGAGTCCTGCTGCTGCTTTCGTCCTCTTCCTCGCCCTTGTCCTCCTCCGCTTCTGTTCGTGGGAAGTACGTCGGATCATCGCCTTCATCATCTGCGGACAGACCAATCGCAGTTGGTTAACCAATGTTGGTTATTCAGCCAAGCAACAGGGTGATGGAAGGAAGGACGTTCGGGTTATTCAGCGACGCACTGAACTGTCAGGACCATCAGTCACCATTCCCACGCGGATCAGACTGAAACATGATGCGCCGCATGCCACAGGCAAACCAGGGACTTCTGGGCTGTCAACAAAGTTACAACGCCAGGTCGCCGTTTAACCAAGGGATCGTCAGTCCCTGGGGCGTCGACCTACCGACCTTACTCGGTGCTAGGGTAGCGACAAGTCCATGGTTGGCCACTGCTGCTTTGTAATGCCTACACCATGGCATTATATAGGTGCGTATACCTTGTTCAGGGCCATCAGCCACCTGGTGCATACACCCACACCCCCAGTCTAGGCATCCAACTCCCAGCGGGATGCACAACATTCACCGCACGCATGGGCGCCGCCCGTGGACCCTCGGCACCTTCATGCACCGAAATCCACCAACCGAACGCGCCAAAATCCAAAATCGTAGATGAAGCGGCGACAAGGCCATACCGCCGTCACCAGCAGTTCACCGTGACGCGTGGCGGCCAAATACAGCACCTCACTTCTAAAGAACTAATACTTTCAGTTTTTGGTACTGTCGGCGTGGCGCGGCGTGGCGTGACGTGACGTGACGTGGCGAGGCGTGGCGTGGCGTGGCGTGGCGTGGCGTGGCGTGGCGTGGCGTGGCGTGGCGTGGCGTGGCGTGGCGTGGCGTGACGTGACGTGACGTGACGTGACGTGACGTGACGTGACGCGACGCGACGCGACGCGACGCGACGCGACGCGACGCGACGCGACGCGACGCGACGCGACGCGGCGTGGCGTGGCGTGGTGTGGCGTGGGGTGGCGTGCGCGCGAGGGCAGCATGCATGTTCGATAAAGTCTGGGATGTGGCTAACGTGATTCATATATTCATGGGCGTATAGCCCCATCGTAAGGATGTGCTTTGCGCACTAACACGCACGCACATACACAAACACGCATATGTCTATACATGGTGAATATCTACTCGCCAGAAGATATCTCCCAGGGCCCGCAAGGATGACTATATTGGCTAGGAACACCGCACTTTCCGAACACGACTGGGAAAAAGGTTGTAGTCTTCACTACACGACTGGGACCGCCGGACAGTGGGAAAACTGTTCGCGCAGCAACAACTTGAAACAACTACGAAGCCAATCAAAATATTACACATTCGTGCTCAGCGTAAAAAAATCCAACCCCACGCGGGCCCGTGGGCCACGTGGGCTTCAGCCCGTCACCAGTACATCTGACGCCGGTGTCACTTAAAACTATTGGCATACCTTTATGTGGAAAAAGCTGCCCCAGACAGCGCAATTTCTGTTGAGTAAATATGCTCCTTATTACGCCATTGTTTGATTACATCATCGTACTTTGCGCAACATTGATCGTTCTCGCGAACGCCAGCTACGAAAGACTTAACAGTTGTATTTTTCTGGACCTTGAACGCCGCATGGCCAATGAAATGGCATGATTTGGATGACTTACTTAGACGTCATGGGTGCCTGAGTGACCTTAAAATCTCCCCGAGTAGTTTGCACATTTTCGCGGGCGTGCAGCTCGCAAGCTAGAAGAATTTAGGTCTTAGAAGGACAGGGCTGTGAATGGCTCCAAATGATCTCGAAGATGACTATTTCAGTTCAAAACCCCACTCAAATGTTGAGCACTACCTTTGACACGCGGGGGGCGGGGCTTCAACCCGACCCCCAACGCTGCCAAAAGGGTTTTCGGGAATGGTTTCCGATCAGCGCGGCGTAGTCGCGCTAAATTTCGTATAGTTGTAGACAAGTGAATAGCAGATCGTTTGGTATAAAAAATTAGCTGCTCTAATTTAGCTAGCTGCTTTAGCTGCTTAGCTGTTTCATTACCCTTGGGCTTGCTGTATTGGGTAGTTTCTGTTTCTCATTTTGAATTGAATAATAACAGGAACCGCATTAGACATCTTCCATTGACCTCTTAAATGACATAATAGGTCACCGACTTAAAATGACCGATGTCAATATTTTCTTTTAGTGGTAAAGTGCCTAGCGTAATCTTTGTTGCTTGTTCAGATACAGGACTCAAAGCAGTTTTCTAAGATTCTGGTCATCATGACCTTCGAAAGGTCGAACAAGGCCAGTGACCTTGATTGAGCAGGTGGCCTTTTGTTTAGTACAGGTATCCAGGTTCTGGGGACACTTCGTAGACCAACTTGGGTTTTGACCTTATTTGACTCGAAGGTCATGACCTTGGAACCTGAAACTTAGACCTGTGCGAGTAAACGTACAGGCCAATACACCCTGTAGATTTGGTGTCTCTAGCCCTCTTAGTTCCAGATCTCAGGGGTTCAAATTGAACCCCCCCACCCGAGCGAAGGGTATCCAACCGGCCACCCGGGCGCGTGTTAACGGAGCTCTACATCAGAAAGATACGCCCAAAATACATCAGACTACAAACCAATATGCTCAAAACTAAACGAGGAGCACGCCTGAGTAAGTTTCGTGTCGCTCAACACCGAGGTTACATACATATGAGCATGTTAAGCTGAAAATAGTAATTTTCGGGAAAATGGATATTTTTGACCCGACATAGTGGGGCCAATTACTAACCAATCAAGATAAAATGTATAACCAATCGCAAGATCCCGTTGAGGCCTGCGAACTGCTTCTTTTCGCGAGGTTTATACCTTCCTTAAATTCGAAACGGCTAGGGGGAACCCGTACCCCTACTCCCGATCAGTCCGCGTAGTGAAACACGGCGATTCGTGGCGAGGGCTAACAATGAACCGATGCTCAGTTCCGAACTTTGGTGAAATCTAACACTGGCCTAATGGCGGTTCGCAACTTTAACGCCGCATGGCCAGTGGAATGGCACGACTTCAGTGACACCATTACGGGATCATGGATGCCTGGGCGACTTGGAAATAGCCTGTATGAAACTGGCCCCGCATCTTCGCGGGGGTGCAGCTCAGAAACCAGAGGGTTTTACACATTAAGAAGGGCAGAGCTGTGAACTGCACCGAATGACCTTCAGCATGGCTATGCCGGTTCGCAATCACACACAAATGTGAAACACTCCCGTCAAACGACGACAGCAGAAGTGCGGATATCAGGAGCATGGGGGTAAAGCGTTGTGGAGTTGCACGACACTGCATAGGAGGTGGGGAACGGCGAAGTCTTTGGTAACATGCTGGCCCGATAGGGTGTGTTTAATGCGTGCGCTCCACACAGGAAACCCTTCCTGGGAGGGACGAAATGGTGAACATACCGAGCGGCTCAGGCGAAATGCTTCTTGCTTCTACTGATACCTCCTCCGTTGTCAGATCTGGCCACTCAGTCTTCACTTGAGGCGGATCATCTGGAAGGGATGAAGCCGTGAGCGCAAAACTCCTGCTGCATTGCCACAAACCTAGCACACTACAAGAAGGACATAGACTAGGACTATACCGCTACTCGAGGCAGAGCAGGAAAGTGCGGTCAAGCCAATGTGACACTAAAAAAAAAAACGAAGAGAAAGAGAGCATGCTGGCACCAGTGGTTCTGGTTGTGAAGTTACCTCAGGATATAGCCACTTACAAAGTAGGGCATAACACATCTGCGGTGCATATCAAAGGACAACAGACGAGATCTGTTGGTATTACGCAAGCCTGACGCCTGGGTCAACTCCTGTGCGCTTGGGTCTTTCTATTGCTACGCCTTTGATGTGCTTACATAACCCCGGGTGTCTGGGGAGGGGAGGGGGTTAATGGGGTATGCCAACTGAGAGGAATGAAGGTATGTAGCTATGCCATAACGCATAAATTGAGTAACGTTCAATCCAGTGACTTCTATCTCCAAATTTCGCTAAGCTCCTCCAAGTTCAAAGTTATGCCCCACACGTGCCTCAAAAACATCTAGTCAAAATCTGCCGTGGTTTGCAGACCATCCCCTATGGCATATCATCTGCATAGAAGCATAGTCATACGCAGCCTAAGGCCTACATCAAGATCAGGGTGCTGGCAACATCAGCAGGCAGGACGGAGATTTTCTATCGGCTGTTGTAAGTTACATCAACATAGTCAGTAAAAGGAGCACACGCCTTGGAATGCATACCTTGTGGTACGAACAGGATCGGTTATTGTCCGTTGCTCATGTCCTGCTTTGCTTAGGGAAATGGTAACTGGTAACCTTAGCTGACTTTTTTAAAACAGATGTATGTATTCTAACATGTTATTTGCTCCGTTTCAAATTGTTAGCTTGTGTCAGCCGATTTGAATAAGCACACACAAACCCAGCGAACCGGGTGTACAAATGAACAGTACCTGACTAGAGACCACGTTTGTGAAGCAGCACGCTTAGTGAACAGCATACTTTGTCAATAGGTCATAAATATCATGTTTTCTTTGGAAAAAGGGGATGTTACAACAATGCGCAACAGTTCTGAGACTGAAAGTTAGCCTAGATTAGTATTCACATCAAAATCTTCGGACATCATTTGAATGCTGAACAAAATTTCACCGCACGCGGTATCAAAGGAGTGTTTCACATTTGCGTGAAGTTTTGAACTGAACCAACTAACTTGAAGATCATCTGGTACAGTTCACAGTCCTGTCCTTAAAGGGAGTATTCCCAGTTTGTGTGGGGTTTTAAACTGCAATAGCCATCTTGATGATCATTCGGTGCAATTCAGAGCCCTGCCCATGCTTTAACTTTAACTCTTTTAGCTTCTGAGCTACACTCCTGCAAAGATGTGCAGACCATTTCGGCAGACTATTTCAAGGCCACCCCGGCAACCCTTGACGTCATGCTGACGTCATTCCAATCCTGCCATTCCAATGTTCATGCGACAATCAAGGCCAAGAAAAATAGAATTGTCGGTTCGTTCATATCTGGCATTCGTGAACACGATTAAGACATAACGGATATCAACTGGCTCTCAATCAATGTTGTGCAAGCTATGTGAGATTCTACTACAAAGTACGTTTTGTGCTGCATCATACAAGAACTTAAGCACTCTTCATTAATTCATCTCAGGTCTTAAGAAGGGTAGAGCTTTGAACTGCGCAGGATCATCAACATGGCTAATTCAGCTCAAAATCACACAGAAATGTGGAACACTCTCTTAAAAAACCAGAGTGACGAAGTGCGCAGTTCCGCAGCACGGTAGACGAGCGTTATAGAATTGCATGACACTCTGCGGGAGTTGGGAAAGGCGAAAAGAGCGTGTTTCGGTAACATGCTGGCCCGACAGGGTATGTTTTAAGTGTGTCCTCCATTCAGGGGACCCCTTGCTGGGACGAATAAAATGGTGAACGTACCGAGTGCGTCAGGCACAGCGCTTCTTGCTTCTACTGATACCCCCTCCGTTGTCAGATCTGGCCACTCAGTCTTCACATCAGGTGGATCATCTGTAAGGGATGAAGCCGTGAGCGCAAAACTCCTGCTGCATTGCCACAAACCTAGCACACCGTGAAAAGGACATAGAGCTATACCGCTACGCGAGGCGGTACAGGAAATTGCAGTCAAAGCAAAATGACACTGGCAAGACAAAAAAGAGAGAACGTGCTGGTATCAAGGGTTCTGTTCCAAAAGTTCCCCCGGGTAGACGGACATCTGCAAAGTATGGCACAACACACCAGCTGCGCGTATCAAAGGGCAGCAGACAGAACCGTTCGTATCGTGCCAAGCCCGACACCTGGTCCGACTGCTGTACTCTAGGGTATTTCTATTGCTATGCATTTCATGTGCTATGTGCTAATGTGCACGTGCTATGTGCTTTCATTTCATTTGCTATGCATTTTAACACTAGCTTTTTACATCATCACACTAAAAAACTGCCATGCTTGCGCCTGTTCCTTGCACACTATTGCACGCCTAGGTGTAAAGTTGGCCGGCTGCTGTAACACGCATGGCACATATTCCGTACAATGATTTATGATATGCAGTATACCATGTTTTAAAGCTCTGTGGTATTTTTTGGCCAAGTCTCCCCAAATTGAAACTAGGGGAAATGACTATGACTTATAAATGACGTGAGAGAAGATGTTGTTGTGATACACCATTTGCAGCATTTCGATATTGCTTTTTGTGGTGCTTTTAACGTTTTCCACTCAATGACCAAGATGAAAAACAAATTCCAACACTAAAAACTGCTGCCCTCTCCCACACTCCTGCCACCTGGTGGTCTAACCTGGTACTCCTGCCCCCTGGTGGTCTGACCTGGAACCCCTGGTGGTTTAACCCGGTACTAAGGTAACTAAGTAAAATGACAGTCACAAACAACCAAGCATGGATGATCTGAGAAAGGCACCACACAAAAAGACTTTAAGTGTATAAATGACAAAGCTGGGGCAATGCCCTGCCAGCTGATGATCTATAAATGCATATGACAAGACGTTATTGCTAACATAAACCATCTGCAGCATTTTGGTATTGGTTTTCACAATGCTTAAAACATCTTCCTCTCAATAACCAAAATAAAGAACACAGTCCAACTCTCAAAACTCCTGCCCCCTCCCCCTCCTCCTCCACTCCTGCCTCTTGATGGTCTGACCTGGCACTCATGGCCTCCAGTGGTCTGACCTGGTGCCCCTGGTGGCCTGACCTGGTGCCCCTGATGATTTGGCCTAGTACTCCTGGTGGCCCTCTCCACTGATGGTGTGACATGGTTCCCCTGCCCCGTGGTCTTACCCGGCACCCCTGCCCACTGACGGTCTGATGTGGTACTCTTGCCCTAGTGCTGACCTGGTACCTCGCCTCACTGGCGCTCTAAAGTAAAACCATGAAATCGCGGAACTAGTTCACGTTTCTGCTGAGTACGTCTCTGACGTTTAAGCGCCGGATCGCACCATCTACGTCCACATCTTAGAACGCGTTACCATCACCATACACCGCGTGATCACGCGCAGGCGTGCTCTGCCACGGACACGACTTTGCGTACGGGAGACGCTTCGGCTTTTCCCGTATACCCGCAGAGCTCTTGGGCTGTAGAGCTTTACTCCATAGATACAGCTAGGTGGCTAGGCACCTGTAGAGCATTAGAGCTCTGCACTATCGCCGAGAACGTGTTCGGTATACATCAACTTGCATGCCACGGTGCGCAAAGCCACTTTGCCGGGGCCTACTTGCACGTACAAAATTGACAACCGCAAACTCATTCAGGATCCGAGAATACAGGTGTTTCACGACCGTTTGCATTGTTCGTTTCTAAAATGGCCAAGTGTTTTACTAGAACGTCGTCCACCGATCCCCGCCTGCGTACGTCCGAACCATTGCGCCGCTAAATGTGCTTGCTTTATCTCCTTGCTAGTCAAGAAAAACGTTGAGCGAGCTCATATCTGTTTTGTGCCTGAATGAGGAAGCCCCACCAAATGACTACGGACTGTTCTTCGTCGATATTTCTCCAAATGCAAACGTTCTCTAAGTGCGAGACTGACTGGGTAATTATGTCTACCTTATGCGAAGACGACACCTACAAATGCATACCCATTTTTTCAGTGCATCTTCAACCAGTGACCCCAAAGACAAATGTAATTTCAAAACACTAACTAAAAAATGTTGTTCCGGCTGCCTAAGCCATATGTTGTGCCACTGTAACATGCTGACTTACTGAACAACCGCCATTATGGTGAAATATTTATCAATAAATAGGCATTCAATTGCATGTTAATTCACACCTCAGCTTTTATCATTTACCCATGCCAATTACTAGTGGTGGAAGCAATAGTAAACACTGTGCAGGTAACCAATACTAGCATACACATATGTGAAAATGCATAAATTTTGTGAAACATGTGCAAATTCAAAATCACATACTGTGTCATGTCACTAGTTGACACCGTCCTGCATCAGTAACACCCCACGCAGCCTCACCTGGAAGTATATAGTTGAGCGAAAGGCTTGAACCTGAAAAAAGAATGCAATATGGTTATGCATTTTGCATGCCACATTTCCATGACATTATCCTGGTATGTAGTTGAGGCTTAGCACTTTGTTCTCTGCACCAAACACAGTATCCACACATAATATTCAGGAGTCCTAAGCTACAAAGAATGAATCCCAAGAGCATGAAATATAAAAAACAATCACAAGACCTCACTTTACCAAGCAAACCATATTCAGAAACTTCCTAAAAATGGAACAGGATTGACAATAACATGAACTGTTACAAACATCATAAATATATTGCAACTTTTGACTTACACCAACCCATACTTCTCATTTCTATTTGATGCCCCTTCCCCCCCTCCCTCTCAGCTGCATGAGTTCATTGTTCAACAATGAAAGATAAAAACTTACAGGGTCGCAATTCCAGCGGATCTCTTAAATCTGATGGATCATGTTCACAGCCAGGCCAGGCAGAATCCATGTCATTCTCCGGAGTGGCAGGCGCGTGTGAGTGGTTCGAGCTTGTCATGCCTTGGCCTGAAACACAAGCATAGTTGTATTTTACCATTGAACAACGAGCAAAACCAGATCATATGCACTCAACATTGTGCCCAGGTGTTTATGCTGTTCCACCTGCATTCAGCGGTATTCTTCAAGTACTTCACCTTTTTTAGAAGAAGAAAAATCTCCACCGCGAGCGTTTTACGCGCAGTGCGGCACGGGCTCAACCAGCTCGCGTTAGCAGGATTGCCCGACTTTGAAATCATACAATCCAAACGACATCTTTAGCACCAAAAATAAAGGGCAGGCAATTAACATTATACACTACGTCGTTTCGACCACTGCTACTCACAATGCTCGCATGATTGCCTATCATCTTCAAGAAATAACCATCTGATAATATAATAATTTCGGCCACGAACAGGTCATATGATTTTTAACACGCAGACAGCCGACGATTTATAGCATGTACTAAAAGGGCAACATAAGCACCAAATTACGTACATTCGAGCAATTAAGAAAAGTATCCCAGTTCTTCACATTCGTGTCTCGAATTGATATTTCCAAACAGACAGCACAGAGAAAAACCCAACAATGTCGGCGGAACTGAAGCATTTCCAGCAGTCTTAAAAAACGGACCAAGCCACGGGAACCAAACACCGAAGCCAAGCCAACGTTTTCGGTGCGGTACATTGACGTCTATTAGCGCAGTGCATCTCATACACGAGTCCGGATAATGTGATTCACACTTATTAGGACCAAACACATCGTGACGACATTGTCGCTTAAACTACAACACTTGGATTCAATTAATATGACTACTCCGTTTGCCGTGACATGCTGCCATCATGTGCAGAGGGACTGTCGTAGTACCCTCTTAAAGTAGTGCACCTCTTGTACAATTCCAACGAGCAAGGCTTGAAATCGCTCTGACATCCAGAGACATACTCTGCCGAGATCATATGCCAACAGCCACCCTATGGAAACGGATCAAGCCTCGGGAAACGAAGACTGAAGCAGGGCCAGCGTTTTCGGTACGGTACATATACGTCTGTTAGCGTAGTGCACCTCACACACGAGTCCGGATAATGCGATTCACACCCTTAGAACTGAACACGTCGTGCTGACAATGTCGATGGAACTGCAAGACTTCGGTCCGATGAATAAGACTCATGCATTGCGGTGAGATGCTGCGATCATGTCGTGCAGAGGGACTGTCGTAGCACACTCTTAAAGTAGTGCACCTCTTGCACAATTCCAACGAGCAAGGCTTGAAATCGCTCTGACATCCAGAGACATACTCTGCCGAGATATTATGCCAACAGCCACCCTAAGGAAACGGATCAAGCCCCGGGAAAGAAGACTGAAGCAAGGCCAGCGTTTCGGTACGGTACATATACGTCTATTAGCGTAGTGCACCTTACACACGAGTCCGGATCATGCGATTCACACTTACTAGGACCAAACACATCTTGCTGACGATGTCGGTGGATATGCCAGACCACGGTCCGATGAATAAGACTCATGCATTGCCGTCAGATGTTGCCATCATTGGCGGACGGACTGCAGTAGCACCCTCTTCAAGTAGTACACCTCTGGTATAATTCCAATTGGCGGGACCTAAAAACCGCTCTGGCATCCAAAGACATACTCTACCGAGATAATATGCCAATAAAAATCCTAAGGATACGGACCAAGCCTTGGAACCGAAGACTGAAGCTAGGCCAGCGTTTTCGGTACGGCACATATGCGTCTATTAGCGCAGTGCACCTCATGCACGAGTCCGGATCAGGCGATTCACACTTATGGAAATTAAACACATCGTGCTGACAATGACGGTGGAACTGCGAGACTTCGGCCCGATGAATAAGACTGATGCATTGCCGTGAGATGCTGCTATCATGTGCGGACAGGCTGTAGTAGCGCCCTCTTAAAGTAGTACACCTCTTGTATAATTCCGATTGGCGAGACCTAAAAACCACTCTGAAAGGCAAAGACACACCCCGCCGAGATAACATCCCGACACGAACCCTGAGGAACAAAGCCAAGCCCCGGGAACCGAGGACCGAAACAAAGGCAACGGTTTAGGTACGGTACATATACGTTTAGTCGTGCGGTGCACCTGAAACAAGAGCCCTTACAACGCGATTCACACTAAGTAGAAATAAACACATTGTGCCGACAATGTCAGCTGAGCTGCAATGGTTTGATTCAATGAATAAGACTCATGCACTGTCGTGGGATGTCACCATCATGTGCGGACAGACTGTAGTAGCACCTTCTTAAAGTAGTGCGCCTCTTGCATAATTCGTTGGCGAGACCTGAGAACGGCTTTGTCATCCAAAGACACACTGTACCGAAATAACGTGTCAACAGCAATTCTAAGAGAACGGACCAAGCCCCGGAAACCGAAGACCGAAGCGAGGCCAACGTTTTCGGTACGGTACATATATATTTATAAGCGCAGCGTACCTTATACCATCGTCAGCAAGATGTGTTTAGTCCTAATAAGTGTGAATCGCATGATCCGGACTCGTGTGTGAGGTGCACTACGCTAACAGACGTATATGTACCGTACCGAAAACGCTGGCCTTGCTTCAGTCTTCGTTTCCCGGGGCTTGGTCCGTTTGCTTAGCGTGGCTGTCGGCATATTATCTCGGCAGAGTACGTCTTTGGATGTCAGAGTGGTTTCTAGGTCTCGCCAATTGGAATTATACAAGAGGTGTACTACTTGAAGAGGGTGCTACTGCAGTCCGTCCGCCAATGATGGCAACGTCTGACGGCAATGCATGAGTCTTATTCATCGGACCGAAGTCTTGCATATCCACCGACATCATCAGCAAGATGTGTTTGGTCCTAATAAGTGTGAATCGCATGATCCGGACTCGTGTATGAGGTGCGCTACGCTAACAGACGTATATGTGCCGTACCGAAAACGCTGGCCTTGCTTCAGTCTTCGTTTCCCGGGGCTTGGTCCGTTTTCTTAGGGTGGCTGTTGGCATATCATCTCGGCAGAGTATGTCTCTGGATGTCAGAGCGATTTCGGGCCTTGCTCACTGGAATTGTACAAGAGGTGCACTACTTTAAGAGGGTGCTACGACAGTCCCTCTGCACGACATGATGGTGGCATCTCACGGCAATGCATGAGTCTTATTCATCGGACCGACGTCTTGCATTTCCATCGACATTGTCAGCACAACGTGTTTAGTTCTAATAAGTGTGAATCGCATTGTCCGGACTCGTGTGTGAGGTGCACTACGCTAACAGACGTATATGTACCGTACCAAAAACGCTGGCCTTGCTTCAGCCTTCGTTTCCCGGGGCTTGGTCCGTTTCCTTAGGGTGGCTGTTGGCATATTATCTCGGCAGAGTACGTCTTTGGATGTCAGAGCGGTTTCTAGGTCTCGCCAATTGGAATTATACAAGAGGTGTACTACTTGAAGAGTGTGCTACTGCAGTCCGTCCGCCAATGACGGCAAAATCTGACGATAATGCATGAGTCTTATTCATCGGACCAAAGTCTTTCATATCCACCGACATCGTCAGCAAGATGTGTTTAGTCCTAATAAGTGTGAATCGCATGATCCGGACTCGCGTGAGGTGCACTACGCTAACAGACGTATATGTACCGTGCCGAAAACGCTGACCTTGCTCCAGTCTTCGTTTCCCGGGGCTTGGTCCGTTTGCTTAGCGTGGCTGTTAGTATATTATCTCGGCAGAGAACGTCTTTGGATGTCAGAGTGGTTTTTAGGTCTCGCCAATTGGAATTATACAAGAGGTGTACTACTTGAAGAGGGTGCTACTGCAGTCCGTCCGCCAATGATGGCAACATCTGACGGCAATGCATGAGTCTTATTCATCGGACCGTGGTCTGGCATATCCACCGACATCGTCAACAAGATGTGTTTGGTCCTAATAAGTGTGAATCGCATGATCCGGACTCGTGTGTAAGGTGCACTACGCTAATAGACGTATATGTACCGTACCGAAAACGCTGGCCTTGCTTCAGTCCTCATTTCCCGGGGCGTGATCCGTTTCCTTAGGGTGGCTGTTGGCATAATATCTCGGCAGAGTATGTCTCTTGATGTCAGAGCGATTTCAAGCCTTGCTCGTTGGAATTGTGCAAGAGGTGCACTACTTTAAGAGGGTGCTACGACAGTCCCTCTGCACGACATGATTGCAGCATCTCACGGCAATGCGTGAGTCTTATTCATCGGACCGAAGTCTTGCAGTTCCATCGACATTGTCAGCACGACGTGTTCAGTTCTAAAGGTGTGAATTGCATTATCCGGACTCGTGTGTGAGGTGCACTACGCTAACAGACGTACATGTACCGTACCGAAAGCGCTGGCCTTGCTTCAGTCTTCGTTTCCCGAGGCTTGATCCGTTTCCTTAGGGTGGCTGTTGGCATACGATCTCGGCAGAGTATGTCTCTAGATGTCAGAGCGATTTCAAGCCTTGCTCGTTGGAATTGTACAGGAGGTGCACTACTTTAAGAGGGTACTACGACAGTCGCTCTCCACATGATTGCAGCATGTCACGGCAACGGAGTAGTGATATTAGTTGAACCCAAGTGTTGTAGTTTAAGCGACAATGTCGTCACGATGTGTTTGGTCCTAATAAGTGTGAATCACATTATCCGGACTCGTGTATGAGATGCACTGCGCTAATAGACGTCAATGTACCGCACCGAAAACGTTGGCTTGGCTTCGGTGTTTGGTTCCCGTGGCTTGGTCCGTTTTTTAAGGATGCCGGAAATGCTTCATTTACGCCGACATTGTTGGGTTTTTCTCTGTGCTGTCTGTTTGGAAACATCAACTCGAGACACGAATGTGAAGAACTGGGATAATTTTCTTGATTACTCGAATGTACGTAATTTGGTGCTTATGTTGCCCTTTTAGTACATGCTATAAATCGTCGGCTGTCTGCGTGTTAAAAATCATATGACCTGTTTGTGGCCGAAATTATTATATTATCAGATGGTTATTTCTTGAAGATGATAGGCAATCATGCGAGCATTGTGAGTAGCAGTGGTCGAAACGACGTAGTGAATGGTGTTAATTGCCTGCTCATTACTTTTGGTGCTAAAGATGTCGTTTGGATTGTATGATTTCAAAGTCGGGCAATCCTGCTAACGCGAGCTGGTTGAGCCCGTGCCGCACTGCGCGTAAAACGCTCGCGGTGGAGATTTTTCTTCTTCTAAAAAAGGTGAAGTACTTGAAGAAGTAGCCTTGGACATACTCATCTTACAAAAGTTCTTAGAATAAGTTGCCACAAACACCTCATGAAAAACTCCAGCGCATGGCGATTTCTGAACACCGAACGATCCTTACATTTATAAAGCGCGCCTAATCCGAACCAAGCCCTGGAACCAAGCAGTGGGACACGCGCTCTCGTACGTGTTCATTCTGTTGTGCGTATTCATTCTGATTTTGTCAAGGCATTATATACGGGATGGTACTGTTCCGACCACGCACTTCTCAGTGAACATCCTTATATGACGTCACGGGGGCACTTTTAGCGCTGGAAGGTCGCACACATCTTAAGGGACATGAGCAATCGGGTGCATTACAACACATTCGGGGGTGGAGTGATAACTAAGATGAAGTTCAAAATGAGTGAAAAGTGAAATTCACAGTATGTATAATTTTGAATGTAACGCAAGGACTGAGGCGGCAATGTGTAAGTGTTACTTGTGTCGCCTGACCCGTTCCCGGCCGCGCGGCGCGTCCTGTCCGCTCGGCGGTAAGTTCGCTACGTTTATCGAGCTAACAGGTGGTGGCAGAGGAGTTCCAAACCCGTGGTCCTGCTATGAAACCTACTCGACCTGCGTTACACTACTGCTGGGTGTGCTATGGACCGGTTCGCACCTTGAGCAGTGTGACGGTGTCAAGATGGAAAGGCATATCTTGCACTTGAAGAGCACCTGTCCACATTCATTCGTCTGCCTGCCGGCACGCGCGGGCTCCATCAAGCTGCAGATGTGAAGGTGGAGGCTGATCTGACCTGATCGTTGGGTTCCGATCGGCCGATGCCTCTGGTCACATACATGGTCGTTCGATCTGAGCCACGCGCTTTTGGCTGGTCGGTCCCGTTCTTCTGAGTTCTTGCCGGTCTACGGGGCGTGTGTCTGGGCCGGTCGGCTCCCCTGTAGGCGCCCGTCACTTCTAGCTGCTCTGCCTGTTGGTCTGTGACCTCCTGTCCGCCGACCCGCGACGTTCCTGCCTGCTGGCCCACGACGCTCCTGCACGCTTCCCTTCGACGGTCCTACATGCCGGTCTCTGGCGTTCCCGTCTGCCGGTTCCTGCCGGGTCAGCTGCCGCCCCGCGTGGTCGGCATGCAGGTGAGCGGGCCGCTGCTCGCCTCGCCTTCTGGTTGCCGCTGACCTGCTGGCGGCCGTCCGTGACAGAACCGCTGGGAAAGGTGGAGGTCTCGTAGTCTACGTGCAAAGTTAAGTGCTTTACTTCCGTGGTAGATGTGTGAATTGAATCCATGCCTGACAGTACCCCTGAGACCGAGGGCAAGGTCGCGAACAACACTATTGTTGGTGGAGTGGCGGCACCTATGGGGGAGAGGGGGTGTTATGATGGCTTCTCTTATGCTCTCTAGGGAGGGAAAGCTTAGCCGCTTCATTTCCGATTGCGATGCATTTTCCTCTCTGTTCAACTGGCATGATGATGCCCTCTTTTTCAAAGGAAACATTCCACATTTGTATGGAGTTTTGATTTAAAATAGTCATATTGAATACAAGTTCCGTGAGTTGTCGAGTGCAGTTGCGAAGAACGTTATGCATATAGATCAGACGGTATTGGTAGCCTTAATCCTCGTAGAATCAACAGGAAAAGTGGGAGATACATGTGGTTTGTTGGCTAACTGCCTCCATGGAAGTGAATCGTTTCCATTAAGGTGTGCTTCGTTTTCATAAGGGCGTGAAGCTAAAATATCACATCTTTCTCTCCCTTCTCCTGTTTATTCTACGAGGATTAAGGCTATCAATGCTGTCTCATCTATTGAAGGTCAACTGGTGAAATTCACAGCCCTTCCCTTCTAAGATCGAAACCCTTCCAGTTTCTGAGCTATACGCCCCCGAAGATGTGCAAACTATTCGGGGATACTATTGACAAAAGCTGTACAGGCAAAAGACCGCTTTGGGCGGCAAGAAAAGACGGGATGTTTGCGGCATGGACAGGTAGTGGCGTTGTTGCGGTGACAGTGAATTTGGCTTTCGCGTTTTTGCAGATTGGCCAGCTGCCACGTTCCCCCGTAGGACCGGTCCGCGCCAAACAACATCACTTACCCTCCCAGGTTACGTGTGCCATCTGCCGGGCCGCCGGACTGCCATCCAAGCCAGGAAACGAGCATTAAGACGTTTAAATCGCTGCTCCACACAGGCTAACCCTGTGACGTTCAAGCATACGATGGCGCGGGCGCGGCGCGTGTCCATGATGCGAAGCGGGCTTCACGGTCGGCGTATGCTGCTGACATTTACCGTTTTACACAACTGACGCTAGTTTGGAACCGCATCAGGCTCATGTCTAGCAAATGTTCATCGATGCTCGTACCTGTACTAAGTGTGGGTGGCACAACGGCGACCAACACTGTCGGAGTGTGTAACATATTGGGGCACACGTTCTCGGAGCTGTCCAAACTATGCTCTCGGAACCCTGAATTTATGCGGCATAAGAGACTGGGCGAGTGTCACCAAGAAAACTTCCACTCATCAGGCACCGATAGTTGCAATGCCTTTTACAGGGTTTTAATGCTTGATCTCAAGATTATCATATCATACATCATGTTAAAATTACATTATATAACACGCTACATTGTATTATGTTATATATTTGGCATCAACTGACCGTCCACATCCATACGTGGATAGTACGTGTCATTAGTGGGATAGATAAACGGTATGTCAAAAAAACAACGGAAAGTAACAAGGGATAAAAACGCATGAGGGCATGCACGCATAAACAGAATGAGGCTACCCCATGGCACAAAAAATGGCCTGGCAGCGCGCTTAAAACTTGTTGAATGCCATTACCAAGACCAGAAGCGAAGCACCAGGCTCTGGTCAAACTACAAACGTGTTACAGGACATATTGTGTCGACAATGCTGATAATCTCAGATCCTGCCTTGATAGGTTGCAGGTTATGTCGTAAAACTGAACTAATTTAGTCGCACAGCTGAAACCGAACCCCGTCCGCCTCGCAGTAAAGCTCACCCAGGGGCTGCTTTATGATCCATAAAAGAGCTGTACAATGTCAACATGGCGAGGCTTACCCAGTTCAACGTTTAATCTCTCGCACTGCGGCAGGCCACTCACCGACAGTGGACGATGGGAGTGAATTTGAAGTTTGGCTCTGCCGGACTAGCGAAGGGATGCAACATCTATCTTGTTTTAGGTTAGTTTTCGACGCCGTGTCGCAAATGCGCGCCGACAATTTTTGGTTTTCACACAACGGGGAAAAAGGCAGTTAAAAGAAAAGTCGTCCTCCGATTTTCGGGCCGGGCTTTGTGCCTCTTAAGAAAGGTTGCCCTACCTTCCCCTATGACTTATACATAAATCCGTCATGATTCTACCACAATCGTTAAAACACTGGCCCACAACTCTGGAAATTTCAGAATCCTCTAATTTTTGGGGTCGATCTGTTCTCTGTCCATATTCAACCAGGTTGATGAGGTTTTAGTGATTTTCGCACACCATTACGCATTTGTTACGTGAACAATTGTGTAATAAACGCCATCTAGAATTGCAGCTTCGGGAATTCTCCTTGTAATGTCAAATAAGATGCAGTTTTTGAACCAGGTTTCGGACCGCGTTGCAGGTTCTTATTCATGTGACTTATGCACTTCATGACGTCAGACCTATTTTCAGACAATCTTAAAGTTTTTGAAAAAAAGACTGCATATTTGTACAGCAATATTACACGGATGGCCTAAAAAGATGTCTCAACGATACAGCAACTTTGAAACAAGACTTTCGAAGATCACACGCTGACCTCAGCTGTTGGCATCCCCAAAACACTAACAAACGGCAACTCTTCTAGTTTTGATTTACCTTGCAGAACGTTTGCGGAGTATTTTGGCTCGCTCTGGCGTCAGGGTTCTCGCTAAGCAAGCTTGCCGCAAAGGCTATGGTCTCACCAGCGCAGTGGCACAATGTCAGTTCCACGGACAAGATCTGCTGCAAGACTCCGATGCACCATGCGATGTCACAGCAGGGCCGTCGCTGCACGGTGCTGGTTGCTGGTTGTCACTTGGTAACTAGGCGTCAGAGACAGACTATGTCCGCACTGTTTTCTCGGACGCGAGCGGCAAGACCACTTTACACCGGCGACATTTCCGATGGCTATGTCGCCTCGGTGGCCGCTGCTGTTGTCTGACCAACAGGCTTATTATGACCAACAGGATTATGACCGCCGCAGCAGGCTACCAGCGTCACCAACCGGTGACGTACGCAGTAGGCAGGATGACGTTGTCCAATTCGTCCAACCAGAGATCGATTATTGGCGGTGAGGACGTCTCCAAAGCGCGTCGACCGAAAGTTCCCATCGGCCAGAGCCTGTGATGTTCAACCAACCGACTCAACTGGACAACCAATCGAGCTATATGGACGACCAGAGTTTCAGCATTATGTTCTCCCTATCGACCAGTATGTACCACTGCAGACCACTAGCAAAAGAAATGAAAATTGCTATTTGAAAACATGTCAGCCAGAATATCAGCAACGTACTTTTGCAAACTTAATGTGGTCATTATCACAAAAGCTCTTGTGAAGCATAAGGGTATGCATGCCTTCAGCACCTCTATCTTGGGGTGAAGAAAGCTGCTTATACGGTATTTAAAGCAATCACCTCTCATTCACGATGCCGAACTGTCATCGTCACATCACCTGATCACATGCAGCCGTCACATCACCTGATCACATGCAGCCGTCACATCACCTGATCACATCCAGCCGTCACATCACCTGATCACATGCAGCAGTCACATCACCTGATCACATCCAGCCGTCACATCACCTGATCACATCCAGTCGTCACATCGCCTGATCACATCCAGCCGTCACATCACCTGATCACATGCAGCCGTCACATCACCTGATCACATGCAGCCGTCACATCACCTGATCACATGCAGCCGTCACATCGCCTGATCACATGCAGCCGTCACATCGCCCGATCACATCCAGCCGTCACATCACCTGATCACATCCAGCCGTCACATCACCTGATCACATGCAGCCGTCACATCGCCCGATCACATCCAGCCGTCACAAGCCAGCGCCGCCGTCCACTGTGCACTGGGGACGGAGGACAGCAGAAGAAATGTCGAGAATGTTCCACACGTCTGTGACGTCAGCCGCGTGGGCAGCCACGGCAATCTTCACTGCATTATTATGAGTTGTTTAGTGCA